GCTGAAGCCCAGGTTAAAAAAGCCCACATACAAATCTCTTCCAAGCTCTGTGTTTAGTGCCATCAGGTTGGAAGCTTGAAGTTGGTTATGGTGAGGGCAGTTCCACCACAGAAATCACTAAATGCTACAAACCAGAGACTTTGTTCCTAGAGAGACAATTGTTAGCCTAAATTATCACACCTTGGTTATACAATTAAAATTAGTGGAAGCTTCATTGTGCATGTTTACTGGATCTCATGATTTGTCATCATTTAAGGCCCATGTAAGGTCAGCATTAAAATATATACAATCACAAGCTACGTAACAATGTTTTGTTCAACAACAGATCACATATATGACAGTGGTTCCATAAAATTATATCGTCTATTGCTCAAAAGACCAAAAATCATATGTTCTCCCTCATATGTGGACATTAGATCAAGGGCAAACACAACAAGGGGATTGGACTATGAGCACATGATAAAAGCGAGAGCACACAAGGGAGGGGTGAGGATAGGTAAGACACCTAAAAAACTAGCTAGCATTTGTTGCCCTTAATGCAGAGAAACTAAAGCAGATACCTTAAAGCAACTGAGGCCAATAGGAAAAGGGGACCAGGAACTAGAGAAAAGGTTAGATCAAAAAGAATTAACCTAGAAGGTAACACCCACGCACAGGAAATCAATGTGAGTCAATGCCCTGTATAGCTATCCTTATCTCAACCAGCAAAACCCCTTGTTCCTTCCTATTATTGCTTATACTCTCTCTACAACAAAATTAGAGATAAGGGCAAAATAGTTTCTGCTGGGTATTGAGGGGGGGAGCGGGAGGGGGTGGAGTGGGTGGTAAGGGAGGGGGTGGGGGCAGGGGGAGAAATAAACCAAGCCTTGTATGCACATATGAATAATAAAAGAAAAATGAAAAAAAAAATTATATCATCTAGGCATGTCACAGCTACCTTAGTTTGTATAAGTACACTCTGCGATGTTTGCACAGTGATGAAATCACCTAAAAGCACATTTCTCAGAACACATCCTTGTTACTAAATTATGTGTGAACGTTGTATTAGTCAGCTTTTCATTACTATAATGAAATACCTGAAGCAGCCTAACTATAAAAAGGAAGTTTATTTTGTCATAGTTTTAAGGTTGGAGGTCAAACAGCACGCATCATGTAGGCTCTCGAGAGGACCTCTTGGCAGATAGTGGGAGCATGTGTAGGGAGAACAGATTGAGTCTCGGATTAGATTCCATCTGGCGCCTGGCAAGCTCACCTCTTTAAGAATCTATTAATTCCCATATCTCCACATTGGGAACCACACTCCCAAGGCATGGACCCTTAAGGGGCAAACAACATTCAAACCCGAACACCTATATATAAATATATATTATATATAATAATATGGGATAAAACACAGATATGTTTTGTTGGCCTGCAATGTGTAAACCAAAAATATCCACTTTATATGGCAACATGTAAAATTTTTAAATTTCACATAAATATCTGAATTTTTTGCTCTTGAAAAATAGAGCAACACTGGGCCTCACTTACATGGCTGCAGTGGGCTGGAGGTGAGTTGCAGTTTGTCCAGATTGTCTTGTTGGCACTCAGTGTCATCGTTCTACTTTCATCCAGTCCAGGGCTTCTCTCCATTGTTTTCTCACTGTCTGGCATTTGAGTTTCTGACCCCTGATATAAAGAAAACTCAGCCTGGAGGAATTGTTTCTCCTTAGCTGAAATCTTAACCTGTTTTAAGCTTTCCACAAAGTTAAAATAAAGTTCAGATTTATTAATAAACTGCAAAGTCTGGGGTGATTCCCATATTATTCTAATTTCATCTAACTTCAGATGTCCTGTTTGAAAATCCAAGTAGCAATTTGACTCGTTATCTGCACCTGGGAACCTGTCCTTTTCCGTATATTTCTACACAAAAGCGAATGTTATATTTCTTTCCCTGTTCTGTGGGGCTGCATGACCTTAGGCTCCAAGAATACCCATCCCTTGGTAAATTATGTACAATAGATGTTTATTTGCTAGTAGCACTTTATGCAGAAAATCATTTTGAGGGAAAAAGTGAGATAAGGATATCTCCTTTCAGATCAAAGTTGTATGTGCTTAGCTTATTTGCCTCAATGTAGTTTCAGTGTGTTCATCTGGATGGACTATGTCTCTGTCCATGCTTATGAGGTTGGTGCAGTGTGTGGCAGTCAATATTGTTGATGAACCACTGATTAATTTTTAAACAGGGTCAACTATGGTCCCAGGAGTGGCTGATGAAATCGCCACTCTTCAGCTTAGGGGGCGGGGTGCATGCGGTGAAAAGTGCCTGCCGATGTAATAGATATTTAAAAAGAGCAGGCCTTTTTAGCACCATTAATTGCCACCAATGCTGTAAGGGCAGTGGAAGGCAGTGGAAGCCAGGAGGACAGAGGAGAAAGTGTTTTCTCTGCTATGGCCTACTACCATCTTTCAGGACTCCAGATAGTTGGATACCTATAGCATTGCTGTCTTTTTTTTTTTTAAGCATTTTTATTAGTATATGATAGTTATACAGGGAGTTTTGTTGTGACACTTCCATATATGCATGTACTATACCCCAATTTGGTTCATTATCTCCATATTCTCCTTCCTACCTCCCTCCCCTTCTTAAAGTGACTTCAACAGGTTTCAGTGTTCCATATAGAAAATACATCAACCAAATTCACCCTCCTTTACTCTCTTCATTTACCCTCCCCTTTCCACTAGTGCCCCTCCCCTTAACGTGACCTGTTTTACATTCCTGTCCTTCATTGTTTGTCTATTTTTCAGTGGGCATTTTGCCTTGGCATTTTTACCTGTAAATATATTGGTACTTAAGTCAGTTTAACTCCCTCCTCTACTCTTCCTTACCCTTTCCCCCTACCGTGTATTGGTCAAAAGACTTCAATTTATTTTGTGTGCCCTGTCCCTACATAGATGTGATGTATTTCATTATTATTCACTCTGTACCATTCTTTTCTACTTTTCTTCTTCTCTGTCTTCTTTTCTTCTCCCTTAGTCTCCTCTAACAGTACTAGTTTTGGAAGCATAGCATTGCTATCTTAAAACATGTACAACTGTATGCATCTCAACCAAAAGCTTCACTTGGTAAAAAATGAAAAATTTGGTACCATTTATAAGATACATTTACTTTTTTCACCAAGGATCATTTAAAATGTTTATTTCCATGTTTCTAAAATATGTCCACTACCCAGCTGGTAACATTTTCTAACTAATTATGAAATTTAGATTAGTGACACAAAGACAAAAATTTTCTTCTGTCAGTTAACTTTTACAACAAAAATGATGTCTTTTTTGACAAAACATCTAAGTCTAGTACTTTTGTAGGTTGTTGCCAGACTGCCAAAAACAGTACCCACTGAGGCAATGAAGATAAGAGGCTATAAGGAATCACTGGGAGATACTGGCTAGTTGTGTCACCTAGGGAAAGTTATTATAACTTTCTGAATCTTATCCATAGAATAAGGTTAATAGTACCTACTGATAAGGCTTTTTATTTGTTTGTTTGTTTGCTTTGAGACAGCATCTTGCTATGTAGCCTAGCTGGCCTTGAACTCACTACCCTCCTGCTTCAGTCTGCTGGTTGCTGGGATTACAGATGTGTGCTGGTCTCTCATTAGGTTTGTGTGTGTGTGTGTGTGTGTGTGTGTGTGTGTGTGTGTGTGTGAGAGAGAGAATTAAGAGGTATCTTTCTTCAATGGTTGAGTTTCATGTTGGTGATTGATAGGGTTTGTTTTGTTTTGTTCTTGTCCATGGAAAATGATTACCAACCTGAACCTCTGGGCCAGTTGTGTACTCTTGGGGATCATGAATTAAACTTTCAAGGATGCAAAGTAGCCACTAGCCTCTAAGCCTAGAGCACAGCCAGCTCTATCCCCTTTACTATTCTTCTCCTTGACCTCGGGAAGTAGGAATTTTTGTCTCCTAGCAGATAAAAAGACACTCTGGGTCTACCTTAGCAAGCCCTTTGTATGGTGCCAAGTCCTATGTAAGCACTTAATATATATTATTATCACACAGTCTTCACAGCAACACTGTGCACTGGGTATTATTATCCCCATTTTGCAGATGAGGAAACTGAGATTTGAGAAGTTAAATAATTTATCATCCATTAAGTAAGTTTTGGAGCTAGAATTCAAGGCCACCTCTGTCTACTCAAAAGCCCAAGACTGGGAAAATGGTAGTTGGACTTCATGGGCTCAAAGACAGTCTCCCCAGTTCCAAGGCCTTTTGGGCACCAAAGCCTATCAACGTTGTATAGGGTTCTTTTTGGCTTCTGCGTATTCTCACTTGCTCCCCCTGAGGAGACTCCCCTCTTGGCAGCATTCTCTACTAGCTTCCTGTGGCTATTTTAATTAATTACCAAAAGCGTGGGTGGCTTATATCAAAAGTTTTTCATTTAGGGTTCTTAGTCCTGCTGTCCTCAAATCAAAGCACTGGCAGGGCTTTTGGGATGATTACCTACCTGCCTCTTTCCACCTCAGCATCTTGTGACTTTGGCATTTCTTGATCTGTGGTGCAGCACTCCAGTCTCTGCCTTCATCTTCACATGGCTATCTTCTTTGGGTCTTTCATGTCTTTCTGTGTGTGTGTCTTATAAAGATTCTTGTTGAATTTAGGGCCCAACCAGGTGATCTAGTATGATGTTTTTAAAGATCTTAAGCTTAATTGCATCTGCAGAGACCCTTTTCCCAAATAAGGTCACATTTCCAGGTTCTAAGGATTAAGACATTGACAAGGGACACCATCCAACCCACTACACACCCTAATAGATTTTTTTCCAATAACCAGGCAAGCTTCTATCCTTTGTGCACAGTTGTTATTCCAGCTGATTGACTGATTATCAGCACGATGTCACAAATGAGTATTTAAGGGTACTTCTGTGCATTTAAATTGAGTGACCCAATCTTAAGTCCAGGTAAGCCTTTGAGGCTTCCCCCAGGGTAGTCTGTGACAGCTTACAAGGTTTTGTTCTCTTTCAGATTGCTGACCTACAGCTCCATAAACTGGATGAATTGGACTGTCTGATTCAGGGCCTGCTTTACGTCGACTCCGTGGGCTTCAATGGCAAGCCAGAATGTTACTATTTTGAAAATCCTACAAATCCTGAATTGTGTCAAAAAAAGCCATACTGCCTTGATAACCCCTACCCTATGTTGCTGGTTAACATGGGCTCAGGTGTCAGCATTCTAGCTGTGTACTCCAAGGACAACTATAAAAGAGTTACAGGGACCAGGTAAACATGTTTTCCACTAGGAAAATCTCTTTATGCTTAAACCCAGCTCTCTTTCTTGATGACCAGTGTATAATAAAATATTATTTATATTGAATACATTTTTAAAAGAAATATCTTGACCTCTTTTGCCATCCAAAAACAGGATTTATTTGATGATAGGTTAAAGGAGTAAGAGGTCAATAAAACAGTCTTAGCCTTGCTGGAAATTGTGGTCAGGCTGAGGGAAGAAGGATTACGCACATCAGCAGTTTGCCAAAAAGGTCGTGTGTCCTGAGTGCCACGTGAACAGTAAGGACAGCAAGCTGGATGGAAGCCAGATAAAGAGCACTGGGAGGCTAGAGACAGCTCAGAGAAGCTCTTTTGGAACCTCCTACCACAGGATAAATTGCTTAAAATACAGCATTTTAACCTGCAAACAAAATAAGGGTTACACAGGATTTTTCCCCCTTCAGACAAATGCTCCAACTGAAAGCAAATAGTTAGCACAGCTCATAGGGAATTTTGGAATGCAGTGGACAGGAAAACAGCCCTATGACCACAGGTGCTCAAAGCACCTTGTTTTTAGTATACATATACCCCAAGGCCCATGTAAGGGCAAGGGGATCAGCTTCCTAATAATAGGACTTAGCATGGCAAAAGAATCTGTTGTCAGGTATCTTTGAGAAATTCCAGTACGAACAAAATTAAACTGATTTGGCATAAAGCATTTCTCTAACTTATTGGACCACAGAATCCATTTATACAGGAATAACTGAAGGAACTAGTGCCACTTAGAACGTGCTTTGCTATGTGTTGTTCAAATTCTTGTTTTGGATAGATGGAGATACCATGTTACTTCTCTGAGTCTCAGTTTTCACATTTCTGCCATGAAAAGTGTTGTTGCTTAGATTGTTTCTTCAGACTTTCTCAGCACTGAAATTCTATAGTACTACTCACTCTTAGGAGGAGAGCTTTGCTTTTCAAGTATATTTTCATGATTAATGATGGATCTGCATAAATTAGTTCCCCACTGTGAAGGGGATAACTCAAACCCCTATGGGATATTGGGTTATATTTGGAGACATTTTTTGGTTGTCACCACTGGAGTTGGGACATTACTAGCATCTAGTAGATTGACGTCAGGGATCCTGCTAAAATCCCATAATACGTATAGAAGCTTCCCCAACAACAAAGAAGTTATCAAGCCCCAAATGCCAATAGTGCTGCTGCTGGGAAACCCTGGCACATGTACAAGTGCACACTGACTCATGCCTGCTTAGGTTCAGAGTATGGGCTCTGTTGTGTCAGTTAATTGCTACTAGGCATATATATATATTTTTTAATCGAGAATACAGAAGCTTACTTGCTTACCCAAGAATCAAAACTGACCCCATTACCTCATTAGGACTGCCGGGAGTATCAGAGACATGAATACTTCAGCTGAGCTGGTTTTACCTTAGAGAGTGATCTCCTGGCAACAGTACAATTAAAAAAAAAAAACTATAGAATTCTCCCAGGAGCAATTGAATTGGTAAAGCTACTCCCAAGGTAGCAATAAGCTAAACATTTTCCACAATTAGAGGCATTTACAGTTTTGTTAATAAACAATTAACATTTTATTAATTATATCATAGGTACATTCTCAAATGTGGAGACTCCAGGGCTCTGAGTATCTTAAATAGCTACCAAGGAGCTAGTTATGGTGTTTGGCTCCTCTCGCATGTATAATAATCCATATATTTTCTAGTTATTAGTAAATGCCCATTAGTGACCAGTGTTCTGCTGTCATCAATAAAGCCTGTCTAGGTGACCAGGCTTCCTTTTGGAAATCTGTTAATAGGGAGCCCTTTCAGAGGCTACCACAGGTATTGCAGGGAATTTATAGAACCTCAAGTCTATGGGGATTCCGATCCTTGTCCAACCAAAGTTGTTCTTCCAAAAGTGTTTGTTTGTTTGTTTTTCCCTTAAGAGATAGGGTCTCACTATGTAGCCCAGGCTGGCCTTGAACTTCAATCTTCCTCCTTCGGCTCCCCAAGTGCTCTGATTATAAGCTTGTGTCACTATACTCAGATATAAAACTATTATGGTTAGCAATGAACATCAGTATGTACAATATACTTTGGGAGCCACTGATCTAAGCAAGTGGTGTAAGCTCTGTATTTTGTTACTCCTCTTGTGAACTGACAGCTGTCACTCCAAGATTTTGTTGCTGTATTATATTACAATTTTCCCATTAAGCCTTTTTAAGAAGCCATGTCATTATATTAGTTTTCTTTAAGATGTAGTTTTAAAGGTCCATTTATGTGTATTTTTATAGCATCCCAGATGGGGCAGCAACCTTTTTTTCTAGTGATAACTCCAATTCTCACATAAATGGAAAAAACCAGTACTTTACAGCTGACATTGTTAGAATCTATAATCCATTAAAAGAGGAATATAAAGAACTTGAAACTGTGGTGAAAACAGCATCATTATTTTGCAATCTATTTGAAGGGCATGCATACTTATGCCCATTAATTACTAGTGCTCTTATTACTAAAATGATTAACTTGGGCTGGGAATATAGCTCAGTGGTAGAGCCCTGAATTTGATCCCCAGCACAGCAAGAATACAAAAACTAAAAATAAATAAAAAATGAATGAATAACTGAAGATTTCTTCTACTTCTCTCTAAAATCTTCACAATATGATGAATAACATTCAGCGACCTTTTCTGGCAATGTGTTTTTGTCTCTGATATACTGAGAGTTTTACTATATGTCTGCCAAAACAAACGTTTGTCTGATTGTGAGTGAGCAAATCCCTGGATTAACTAAAGGTTAGCAGGTTGAGAATATTAACCAAGTGCTAGGTGACTCTTGGCTCTTCTATGACCATTCATTCTTCCTTCCTCTCTGCAATGTGCCAGCTGTGCAAATGCATGCTTGCTTTCCCCATTCAGCTCTTTATCTGGGTTCACTTGTCATTTTCCAATTGTACTTGTCCCTTTTCACTTACACCAACACCTCAGTTGATGAATTACCTTCTTTCTAAGTCAGCCAATTTCTTCAGTTGCCTACATTTGGAGTAGGTTGTTGAATGCCTTGGTTAAGACAGATCCCTAATGTTCAAAGAAAGATTATTAGGGATGAAAGATCTGGAGAACCTAGAAATGTGAGTGAAGTCTTCTTTTTTTAATATACGAAGACAAAATAACAAATCTAGATGGCACACAAACCCAAAAGTACTCCCATACTGGCAGGGCTGGGGAATGTGGCTCAGTGGTAGAGTGCTTGCCTGGCATGAACAAGACCCTGGGCTCAATCTCTGCCACCACAAAATAAAAGTATAAAAGAAAAAATAGAAATAAAAAACCACACAAGCTTTGTAGGGTGGGCTGAAACTAACAATGTAGCATGACATGCAATATTAAATATAAATGAAGATAAACTTTCTTAGAGGAAATCCAAAATTTCTACTGTGACTGAGTTGTCAATATAACACTGCACACAGAGCTGTTTCCTCATGGCTCTACACCTACATTTGGGTACCTGTTATTGTGGTGCCTAGCTATATAATTTTCCATGAAAAAGAACCCATAATTTCAATTGAGAATGCATTTCTTTAAGAATCACAATCTAAGAATATTATACTCAATTTAGATGCAGTTTAAGGAACTATGTGCCTATCTCCAATCTGGTACCTTCTTGTTAACAGTCATTACATAAATGACTATATATATTTTCTTACATCAGATTTAAGCTAAAAAAACCTTAACCCCAACTTGATTAAAATTAAAAACCAGTGCACAAACACAAATTGAGTTCCCAGAACTAAGTGGCTCTTTGGGTCTTCAGAACCAACTGATAAGAGCAGCTAGTATTCTTACATTTATTCTTTTTACATGATAAATAAAGAGTAAAACCTTTGCTCAAGGAATTGGAGCTCCTTTTTCTGCCATGAGTTCCCTTTTCTCTGATTTTGCTTTTCTTTGTACTGAGTAACTTTGGTATTAATACACAATTGCATTTGTTCTCGGTTGCTATAAGTAGTTTCTAATTTGGGCCCACAAGACTATCTTAGAAGACTTTTCTACCAAAATAGTCAAAAAGCTTTTAAAACATAGTTCAAGCATTGGAACCATTTGTGACCTTTGTTGTTATTATTATTATTTTTTACTGTTGGGTGGTAAGTAAAATATCAATAACCTTTTCCAAAGACTACTAGAAAGAAAAAGAGATAAGTCAATTGATTTATGAGATAAATCAATAGTTTCCTTCTCAAAATTCCTATGAGGTAGTATAAAATTATTCCTGATAGAGAACCAAGATCAGGTGGAAGGCAGCCTTTGGGCTGGCTACTCCCAGCAGAGTCCTAGATCAGTTTTGTTATGGGAGGGTTTGGTTCCATAGATGTGAGCTGTGTATACTTTCTTTTTTTTAAATATTTGCACTCAGCTGCATATGGTGTTATAATATCAGTTGTTTCTCCAGTAATTTGCTGCTTTCAGAACATCCAAATAGAAGAGATCATGATTTGATCCCATTTCATAGGGGAGAAGACTGAGTGAAGCACTTAGGTTAGTGACTAGCTGAAGGTCTCACAACGGAAATCAGTGAGAGTCTTTTTTTAGTTTTATCCTCAAATTTAGGGGCAGGTTTCCCTTAATGTTTAATTTTAGTCTCTGCCCTCTTTTCTTATCCAATCTACTCTAAAGTTCTTTTGCACTATAGCACTTCAAGTGCCCCTTTGTTTTTCAACAAAGTATCCCTTTGCTTTGCTTCTGTTTTTCTTTACCCATATTAATAGTCTTGATATAGTTGGGGACTTGGATGGATATATATTAAGTAAAATAAAAAAAAAATAAACCTTATTGTTCCTTCAGTCTTGGAGGTGGAACATTCCTAGGCCTATGTTGCTTGCTGACTGGTTGTGAGACCTTTGAAGAAGCTCTGGAAATGGCAGCTAAAGGCGACAGCACCAATGTTGATAAGCTGGTGAAGGACATTTACGGAGGAGACTATGAACGATTTGGTCTTCAAGGATCTGCTGTAGCATCAAGGTAGAGACTAAGTAGCTAGGAGCTGTAGTGATTAAATACAAGGCAGCCTCTCCACCCTGGCAATTAGGATTTTGTTGTTGTTGTTGTTGTTTTAAATGTCAACCCACCAGCCTGGTGCAAATATCTATCATATCAGATCTCAAACTTGATGTCCTGTCCTTAATAGAACATTGAGATGCTTAGCTTTTGAGACATGTGCTTAAAATAAGGCAACTTTGAAAGAAGGTTCTGAAAAACTGCAGTAGTCTCCCCTGTTCCATTCTTATACAGATATGTAGAAACATTGAAAACTTCCCCCCATTAATAGCCATGCTACTTTGTCCCGGTTAAGAAAGGGGAAGCCACCCATTCATATTGTAATCCTTGTCTGCTTATAAACCATGGTAGCAAAATCAGGCCAGTTAAGTTTGAACAGAGTTATTCATAGACCTTTCCGCAGTCCCTTGGTGGGAGCACAGACTGCCTGAGGATGATTTTGAGAGCTCTCACTGATATCCCCACGTAGCTTTGGCAACATGATGAGTAAAGAGAAGCGGGATTCCATCAGCAAGGAAGACCTCGCCCGGGCCACTTTGGTCACCATCACCAACAACATCGGCTCCATCGCACGCATGTGTGCACTCAATGAGGTAAGCCTTAACCCAGGGAAAGGCGTGTGTTATTCTTATGTGTCATTTTTGGCAGTGGGATAGCTGTGGATTCTTACAAAATCCACATATCCTTGGGAAACCTCCCCTTTGTTATGTAGTCACACCTTTTAGAATGGGAGGAATGTTTGTTGGGAGAGGAAGAGAAGTATGTGTTTTATTTTTTCAATAGACATGGGATAAAAACAAATGATGAACTATCCAACTATGGAAACATCTAAGCCATCCCATAGCCTCTCTAACCGTCATTATTACCATGTGCCCACTGAAGTGTGAGGAAAAGTTCTAAGCATCCTTGGAAACAATTGCACACAAAATGCTTCCACTTGCAATATTCAGTATTCTCTCTGCTTTCAGCTTCTTTACAGTGTTGCCTTGTGGCATGGAGTTCAAGCAGCATTGTACAGGGCTATCAAAGCACAGAGAGCTTGCTACAGCCAAGGCCAGCCAGAGCCCCAGGCACAAGAAAGGGTGGAGCTGGTGATAGACAAAGCTTTATTAAGAAGTTTTGAAACATTGCAAAATTCTTGTGGAACAAATTAAACCCTTTCTGAAATACAAGACTTAAAAGTAAACCAACTCTCTTTTCACTGAGGTGTGTTAGAAAAAAAAGTTGGGACATAGAGCAGTTAATAGGAGAAATATTAAAGAACCATAGTAGATCAGTAATGGAGTTTTTAAAAGTATATCTTTAATAGAAATATGATATGCCTACAAAAGAGGGCTTAAATCATTAGTGTATATAGCTCAATGAATTTTCACAGAGACACACACTATATAGCCACCCCTCAGATTAAGAAATAGAATATTATAGATGCTTCAAGACCCCTTCAAGCCCCCTCCCAGGTGAATAATGGAGTGCTGGGGTAGGAAGCATATATATGTTTTTTTAATAATGGATAGATGTTGGCTCTGCCTTTTGAGCTTTTGGGTTATAAAGATATACCTCCTTTCAGGATATGGAATGGCATATATTCCTGGCATGTGGATCACAGTCATTACTTTCTGGACGTCCCTGGTTTGGATGGAATTTAAACAAGAGGCTAATAGTCAGAAAAATGAGTATTCTAGAGATGTGCCTTTTCAAAGTCCACTTTGGTCATGAGATTCATTTTAACAGAGGGTTTACTTTTTGGTATTAAACTTTAAAGGGTGTTTTTCCAAGTAGCCAAACAAACCCTAGGACTAATATGTATGTAGTTGGCTGTACTCACAAGCTGTCAAAGGTCAGTAACATGGTAACACCTCTTGCCCCACAGAGCAATAGATGCCCTTTCACCTGCTTTCCACAGAGCGGCCTTTTGCCTTGCACTCTGCTCTAGTGAGCCAGCAGGTCTTTTCATAGGTATCCTAATCCCTTTAGGGAAGGCAACTATTTTTAACTATTTGAAAATGTAGCCACTGTTATATGCAACTATTCAGAGCAACTGCTTTCGATGTTTCTGTGGAGTTTAATGAATGGACTCACCCATTACCTTGGGGCCAGGACTCCCTTAGAGGACATTCAGTCAGTGCAAACTCCCAGGGTACACAAGTGACTGGCCACATGGCATTTCCCTGAGAGAGCAGTAATGAAGGTCTTCAGTCCTTGCTTTGCTTTCTGGAGTCGATGATTTGAGAATCTTTGATTTCAGCCAATTCCAAAACTGGGGCACCACATTTACTGAGTCTAAAATATTTTTGTTTTGCTAATTAGAGTGCTATAACTTCAGATTTTCTTATTTATTCTTTTGAAAACATAATATGATCACCTCATGCAAAATTCTAAAGCCAGCAGAAAGGTATACAAGGAAATGAGTCACCATTTCCACCATCACAAGATAAGAGGCAGCCCTTGTTTTTAGTTTGTTATTTCTATCATATATTGTATGCAATATAAAATAAAAATATCCTTTCAAAGGTGACAAACTGAACATAACATTCTTTTTAAAAATAACACTTACTGAGATATAATCACAAACCCATACAATCCACCCTCTACATACTAGTGTACATCTTTGTTTATCAGCTTTTTATTATGAAAATTGGTAAACATACGTAAGGGAAATCATACCTTATTATAAGTGAGGTTAAACATTTTCATATATTTAATAGCCATTAATATTTCCCTTTTTGTGTACATATGAACAGCCTATTAATTCTCTTCACCCATTTTCTATTGGGTTGTTGGTCTTTTTTTTCTTATTGATTTGTAAGAACTGTTTATTAATGAGATAACAAACCCATTGTATGTGATATGTACAGAAAATATCTTCTATTTATTGCTTCCCATTTGGATTTGGTTGTGGTGATGTTTTCCCCTGAATAAATGATTTTTAAATAAATAAATAAATAAATTTTTAATAGATTCTGAGTGTTATACTTCTATTCAATATCATTTTAAAAGGATTTTTCTTATATTTTCCTCTAGCCTCTTTTTTCATTATTTCCTTTTTTAAAAAAACATTTGAATTTTTTGACCCACTTGGAATTTATTTAAAACATGGAATGTTCATCAGCTTTAATACCACTTGTACTCGTTATGGCTTTTTACCTGAGTAATTCAAGACTGGGCTTTGAACAAGTCCTACTCTGGGCCCCCTAAATTTAATTAAATTCCTCTTTAATATCAGTTTTTTGCTTTGAGTGTTCCTTTCTACCTCTTAGTCTGGGCAGATCATAGCTACAGTTCTTTCTTAATGGCAACTTATTAAAACTACCCTCTACCTCTCCATTGATGGAAAATTTTCAGTTGCTAATGACTACATGAACATGCATTGTTCAAACTTGAGACTGTTAAAAGGTAATGTTCCCAGACCCTGATTACTACTGATAGACTGAGCAGAAAATAATGCCACCTTCAAAGACTTTCTTGCCTTTGATATATGACCATGGCAACTGACTCTGTGCTAAGTAGTAAGGAACCTCTGCATGGTAGACAGGCTATGCTCAGTCTTAAGCTTAAGAAATATCTGGAGGAGTGGCAAGTGCTGCTGATGCACTAGAGCTGGAAGTTCATGAGATTTGAAGCATGTCTGCATGCATAGGATGAAAGAAGAATGTTCCTAAGTGTGTGTTCACAATGCAAATCTATATCCATGATGACAAAAATACAAATGTGTTTTTGTTACCATATTTTAGCTCATATAGGATAGAATACGATATTCTACCATATATCCTGAGGGCAGAGATGGAGTATTATTTCTTATTAGATGAATAATAATGCCCTAGCCATTTCATTTATGAGTTAGTTATAATAGTATTTTCTATTTGAAGTTGGGTGATTGAAGGAAGGCATACAAAAAAAAATTAGTTAAACTTGAACTCCAGTTCAATTGCATATATATGTTGGGAACTAAATTTCATGTCAGACCCAGTGCAATCTGACATAACAAATCCAGTATCCATTTGTGCTTTGCACAACTAAAATCTTACCCTCCTATTCTTGTGGAATGCACTATCAGGTTTGTTCAACTGCATTTTGGAGATACTGAAATAGTTCCACTTTAAAAGACTATTTACTGTGGTGCAAACAGTGTATATACATGTATATAAATGCAAAAATGATACCTGTTGAAACTGTTCCAGAAATCAGAGGAGCGGGGATAGGGAACAGCAGTGGAAGGAAGGAATTCAAGTGTAATATATTTGATACATTGTAAGAACTTTTATAAATGCTACAATATACCCATACCCAGCACAACAACAATAAATAAATAAATAAATAAATAAATAAATAAAAGATTATTCTCTATACAAGGACATACAGAGCCAATGTCTTTAGTAAATGTTATTTTTATGCCCTGGTGCAATCATTTTTCTTTACCTTTTCTTTTTTTCCAGAATATTGACAGAGTTGTGTTTGTTGGGAATTTTCTCAGAATCAATATGGTCTCCATGAAGCTGCTAGCATATGCCATGGATTTTTGGTCCAAAGGACAGCTGAAAGCTCTATTTTTAGAACATGAGGTAGGCTGAGCCTGCACAGATTTAATTTTCCTACATGGAGTGTATTTGGGGTTTTCTAACATATGAACAGGTCTCTTAGTTTTAAAATTGGTCAAGTAGAAAAGTTGCCATTTAAACTTTGCATTTAGGCAAAGAATAAGAAAGAACTATATAGAAAGTAAGAGCAAGACCCTGTTTCAAAGAAACAACAAAAAAGTCAGTGCTGTAGAGAGCTCTTATTTATCATGGGTGGTAATCTCTTGTGCATATTGTGACAGGAAAAAAATTCTGAGAACTAGTATTGTAAATTTCAATCTAGTATTGTAAATTTTTTTCTCTCCAAACTGACTTAAGTATTAAAAAAGCTACTGATGTACTCAGAAATTATTTAGAGCTGTCACTGCCCATATTTTGTTTTATTTAAAGCATAAAAAGCAATAAGAACTTAAATATAAATAGCTAAGACCCAGTGACAGAAATTAATACTGACAGACTTGTTTTAGCAGTCATTTATGACTGCATGGAGTATTACAACTTTTTTTTGGGATGGAAGAGAGTAAGTCCCACAACCTTCGCTCTCTTTCCTTCCAACCACAGCAGCTTCCATTGATTTAGCTTACTTATGAAGTTTTTGTAAGGTTTTGTTTGAAAAAGAAGAAAGCATCATAGCTTTTTTTTTTTTTTTAAAGCAATAATATTTAAGAGAAAAAAGAAAACCACTGTTCTGGTCCAATATAGTTGCCACATTTAGTAATAAACATGCAGATTGCCCAGTTATTTTATTTGGCATTTATCTGCATTTTATCCAGCAGCTTTATATCCAGACCTCCTTGGGCTAATGCAAATGTAGACAATAAAGTCTAGAAACTGTCAGGGATGAAAAGTCATTTCCAAGGTCATATAGGTAGTTGGTGATAAGATAGACAATAAGATCCAACACTGGAAAAACTCACTTCTGTAGATCATTGGACAGTCACCTGAGTCACTGCACAATCCCATCTCTGGACTATGACTTTAGTTTGTTACTATATATCATAATGCAGTCTCTGTGGCCAGTGACTCTCTTGAAAGGGTCCCTTAGAAAATTCTCTGTATTCTTAAATTCACTCTGGCTTAAGCAGGACTAATAGAGAATACTATGGAGAGACGATTTTTGGAAAGCATTCATTTGGTAGCTTTCTGATCACTTACCCTGGTCTTGGGCATTCTCTGCCCCTCCCTCACCCTTTTCTCTCTTTCTCTTCCTTTATCTCTATCTTGTAGGTTTTTTTGACATGGCATCTTGCTGTGTAGTCCAGACTAGCTCTGAAAGCTCTGAGTGTGCTCAATTTCTCTTTTATTCAACTGATCAGTATGGAGCATCTACTAAAAGAAGTAGTCTAGCTAAGCAGTTCAGAGCACGATATTTTATTGACTGTGAGATCTTAGATAATGACTCTATCTCTCCATCTCTGTTTAAGCATTTGCAAAATGAGGAGAGTTACTGTGATGATTAAGTGTATAAATCTGAGAAAATAATTTCTCACATGTGGTGAGTGGTGAAGCCTAAGTCAATGTTAGGTGGCAGTACCAGCAGCACAAATCCTGCTATGTTCTGAGACATCCACACCCATCTTTGCAGTAAGGAACTGCTAAGATGGGCAAATGCTAGAAGACTGGAATCTCCAGCCTTTTGGATTGAATATTTTTGAGTTGTCCCTACCCCAGTTCATATGTTGAAACCTTAATCCCAAAAATGATGATATCAGGAGGTGAGGCCTTGGGAAGGTGATTAGATCATGAGGGCTGAGCTCTTGTGATCTCATGAATGGGATTAGCATCCTTACAAAGGAGGCCCAAGACAGTTGCCTTGCCCCTTCTGCCATGACAGTTTACAGTGAGAAGGATGGGAACCTGTAAGGAGTTGGCACTTACTGGACACCTTGATCTTGAATTCCCAGCCTCCAGAAATCTAAGAAATAATGTTTTATTGTTTATAAGCCACCTGGACTATAGTTCTTTGTTATAGAGAGCAGCCTAAGACACAAGTTGCTAAAATTTCTGGATGTTATCATTTTCACAGGAACATGAGTTCTCTATTTTATAGATGGTCAAAGTGAAGCTCTGGCTGATTTAGGGGCCTTTCCCAGATCTACTTAGGGAAATATACAGTTTTCTCCTAGGAGACACAGCTTTGATGTCAGACAGATTGAAGTGTTGAGCCCTTGCACAAAATGTGTAGCTCCAAAAGGGGTAATTTATTTTATTATGTTTTATTTCTCATCTGTGAAATAATATTGTGAATTTTGCCATGGTTATGATTCAAATGAAATACTGTTATAATATTAGCAATATCCAGCACTAACATAGCACACATTATGTACCAGAGATTGTTGTAAGCTCTTTATATGTTAATAGTTAGAGACAGGGCATTCAGATAAATTATTGTTATTGTTGTTGTTCTATCATATTTCATAGCAAAGAGTTCAGTTTTTATTTGTTTGTTTTAGTGGTACTGGGGATTGAACCCATGGTCTAACTCATGCTAAGCATGTACTGTACTATTGAGCTACATTCCCAGCCCAAGAAATCAGTTTTTTATTTTCATCTATAAAATTAATGGGGCAATATTCCTAGAATTGTCAACAATAGTGGGTCTTTGGCCAAGGGTCAGAAACAATCCTGCAGAAGTTTTCCTTGTCTTTCTTGTGTTTTTAGGGTTATTTTGGAGCTGTTGGGGCACTGTTGGAACTGTTCAAAATGACTGCTGAGTAGAGAGGAAACAACCTCCTGGGAGGACAAAAAACTGACAGTTACTGCCAAGAAGGTGAAATCACCTGGGGACAGAAGCCAAGCCATTGTGGCAGATGAACCTGCTGGATTTGTAAATAGTTTAAAATTCCTCTAACTAATCTTTTACTCTTCTTAGGTTTTGAGCTTATGATTCAAAATGGGGTATATAAGAGTTTTTTCTGTATATTGTATTTTTAAAAAAAAAATTGTGCAGTGTGGCCAAACCTACCAATTTTTTGCATTATCTTTGCAAATGATGTATGATGTCTAAGAAGGACCTGAAATGTAAACACTGTTCATTTTTCTTCTGGGGTTTACTGATCAGTGTGGTAATTTTAACTTCATTTAGTAATTACTCTAGGAGATTTTACCCTTACTTATATTTTTCATGACGTTTCATGATTTACTGTTGGTTTCAAATGAAACTACAAATCTGGCATGTTTTACTGTGAACACTTTTGTTTGTTTACCCTTTTCTGTCCTTTCTGTTTAAATGTCATATATATATGTGTGTATGAGTCCGTCCTCCTGTTTTTACCCTCTGACGATCTCCCTCTCCTCTACCCATAACCTTAATGTAGTTATTCGTATAAATCAAGGTGCTGACCAATTCAATACAAAGTTAAACACATAATCTAAAGATCTCAAAAGTGCCCATGAAGAGAAGGCTCTGAAAGGGTTAATGAATTTAATGAGTCTGGCAAAAGTTGGAAAATTGTATGCAATTTTGTCTTATCCCTTATAAATATAGGGTCTCATCAGATGTATGCTTTGCTTTGTAATATTAAATTGAAATATTCTATGGTGAAATGTCCTCGGCTATCTCTACCATATGAATGGCAGCAAAGTCTTATGCCAGAAGTTTGGGAACTTATTGGGGAATGTCTCCCAGTAAGTGACCTGTTCCTGTCAAATATAGGAAAAGTCATGAGTTGAGGTATCAGGTAGCAATAACTACCTGTTTTGTACATGTGTGTACGTAGGAGCTTTGTAACAAGACATCTTAAATAGTAATGTTATTTTTTCATTTTTAATATTTTAATCTGAAAACTGTACTTTAATCCCAGTTTCTAAGACTTTTAAAATAATTTATGATACTGATCTATCTCTATATATACATATTTTCTTTTTGAAAGATTCCATTAAAACTGATATGTAGTTTTCAAATGAGGGTCTTGTACACATACTGGAGCATATGAGATCTAAGGATCTTTGAGTTTGAGCATATCCGTGAAAGGGATTTTTGAAGGACAATTCAATTGTTCCATGGTAAATTTTCCCTTCTCTGCCTTCTGAGCACCATCTTTAATTTTAATATCATTAAGTCTTGAAGAAGTTAATGCCAATTGAAGATTCACTTGTCTGGTTGAAATAAAGCCCGTTTTTGTTGTGATGTTTTTAGTGTATGTGTTATTTTCATTTCTTAAGCCTTGTTTCACATCACCTAATCACCTAATTTGTTCTGTAAAATGCCTACGTGCTGTGTTTTTGCTGCTCATTTCATAATTTGAGGCTTTCTCAAAGTGTGGTAAGGTCCAAAACTGTGTCTTCAGTTGAAGCTGTAGACTTCTGTAGGGACTTTTAAAATCTAGCTCTATTGCTGTTATACACCCTACTCCTTAATGCCAAACTATCACTGCTAAGAGTCTCAAAATTTGCTCATCACAAATATATTCTATTTCTTCTGCCTAACTTAAAAACATTCAAGCAACTAAGGTGTTCTCAAGAAAGATATTATCTCTATATTGCCTATAATTAGTGCCTTTTGATGGTCTCTTCCTGCATTCTTAGATCTATCAGGGAACAGCAGACCTTGGATGTATAAATCATGGTTCTGCAAAGGAAATCAGGGCAAGTTAGTATGACTATATTTTTTTAATTGTCTGAAATCACTTGATCTCTCATTATATACACATAAAACATTGGCTTAGCTGAGGGAATTCATTATTCCATTATACAAATATTAGTTAAAGGTTGGCTCCAAATAGCTAGCCTGATTTTACAAAGAGGACTTATAGTCTAAGTATTTTCACATTTAGTTGAGTTACAGAAATTTAAACCCAGCATCACAAAGAAACTTGGCAAAACTAAAGAATTCTTATCTTGTGCTCTATAAAGTCAGAGTGATCAGGTGATCCAAAGTGTGACTTTAATTATTGAGAGAGCGCTTCAGTTTGGATCCAGTGTTGCCAGTTATTATCTGTGAAGGCATGTTGCTAAACCTTTCTCTAAACCTTAGTTTTCTCACCTGTGAAATAGGGCAAATAATAGTTTGGCATCCATATTTGAGAAGCTTAGTACAAGGATTAACACATAGTAAACACTCCATTCATGTTTGCTGTAATAAAAAACATATAGATGTTTTAAACTAATGTATAAAATCAGTGATTCCTAACCTTCTGGAATATGAGGGACACATTTGAGCATGGTGATACTTCACAGATCTCCATATGCCAAAATACATCCACAGCTCCTCATCCACAATTCCAAAATATAAAACTGTTAAAATTTACCTTGATAACCCTCTTAAGTGGGCAGCAAAAGCTGATCTGAGCATTATTTATTACAAGTAGTAGGACTGTTCATATTTGTTGCAGAACTATTAATGTGTTTGATTATAGGATACTGACTCTTTTAGGGGTGTTAAGTAATGAATGATTCTGAATTTTGAAATATATATATAGAACTAAGAATTTTAGATAAAGGGACTGTGTAAATATAGTTATATTCCTCAGAGTTTATAGTATACATAACTTCAGAATTCCTTGGTTTGGGATTATTGTTATGGGTAATTATACTTTATGTTATTCAGTCATATGAGGAACATTAAGAAGTTACTGTGTGCCAGGAAGGAGCTAGAGATTAAGAGGGATAGGATACATCCCCTGCTGTCCAGCAGAGGAAGACAGCAAAGTCTCAAGCCAAGATGTGTAATACTGAGACACAAGCATCATTCACTCATCCATTCACAAGTATTTATAGCAATATACAAAATAAAGACCAATGGTCACAGAGCTTGTATTCTAGAAGGGAAGACAGGTATATTACTAAGTGTATAATATGTCAGATCAGTACGACAAGGAAAAAGTAGATTGGGCTCGAGAAGAAATAGTTCAATTTAGAAAGGTAAAAGGGGAGGAATTTCTTTGATTAAGGTGGTCACATACAATCTCTCATAGGAAGTAACTTCTGAGAAGAGTTGAATGAAATTGGGAACTCATTGTAGATACCCAGGAGAGTATATTTTTAATCAAGGCAAATGAGGATAAGAATGTTGAAGATCTGTAAGGAGGCTGGTGTTGGGAATAAAACATGGCAAGAGTGGTAGAAAACAAATTTTAGTAGCATCCCTGGGCCATGTCCTATGGGAAGTCTATAAGTGAGAGCAGAGGGCCCTTGAAGGATCAATGGGTCTGAGGATTTCTCCTCAACAAGGATGATAGGAAAGGTTTCATGGAACCTTAACCATGTGGACCAGAAATGGAGGCTTCCCAAGCTGGGGAAGATGAGGGAGTAGAAGCTCTGAGGGAAGAATATGCCTGGCTTCTTTCAGGTGCATCAGCTGGCACCTGGTTTGTGAGGAAAAAACAATACTGGGAAAGGTGAATCCGGCCCAACTATGGAAGGACTTTCATTCCATGCTGAAGATTTTGGATGACTCTATGGTCAGTGTGGAACCAACAAAGGGTTTCAAGGAAAGTGAAGCTCAAAATAAAGTGGCTTCAAAGTGATAGAGCAAATTGTCGTCTTGAAGTAGATCGATAAACCAGTTATTACTCTTTTGAACACGTAGCGCCATTTCATCATCAGCTTTATTTCCCCTATTTTACCATACCTCCTGAACCATGTGTTCTCTTTATCAAAGATGGTCATATAAGCCCTTGAGAATTTTACACAGGGCAAACACTACTCATAATTACAACTCAACTGTGAGTCTAGTGGTGAATAGGAAGGTTTCAATAGTAAGGATCACCCTAAACTGTTACTACTTGCAAGAATTATTAGAAAGAAGGCTAATTCCTCCCAGTGATAAGAAAATGACCCCAAATTGGTGAAATTTTACTTAATACACAGTATTTTCTGGGTCTAGAAGTGTTCTTCATTCGCTCTTCATCTTTTAAATTTTACTGAATTTCTATGACATGGGAGGCATTGGGCAGCATTTGAGATACCTTCAGTTGAGAACAAGACTGTATGCCCCAGCTTTCATTGGGCTTATATTCTGGTGAGGGATATAGATATTAAATATATAAACCCATAAATAAACAAGAAGCTATTAGACAGACATTAGCATTTTGAAATGAAGAAGTAGATGAAGTGATAGAGGAGGGAATTCCTTAGTGAGATGGTCTTGGAATGTACACATGATTAAGTCATGGTCTCAGCTCTTCAAAAATAAGTTCATCTTACTGTCATTCTTCCCACCTCTTCAGTGAAAATGAAGGTATTTTGGGGAAACAGTTTGATAGCTAATTCATCTCTTTATTTTACTTAGAATATTTAATTTAGTTCACATATATATTTAAAACCAAGTATCATGTAAAATACTTTTACATGATTAGTAAAAGTATCCTTTTACTAATTTCAAAAATAATTTTATTTGACTTGTTCATTTGAATCTTTACTGTTGATACCTTTCAGTCATTTAATAGTTTTCAGAGCACAAGTTAAGCACTTTTTTAATCTACCTTATATGTTGGCCTTTTTTGCCCTCAGCCAAGTCACAAGCTCTTATTCTCATAATGAGCTCTATTATTTCATTTTCCAAAAGGTGTCTACTGACAATACAGTGTAACCATTTATATAGATCCATTTAAAGTCAACTTTAAAAGGCTAGTTTACAAGTATTCATCACTTGCAACACAAAAATAAAAAGAAAACTTGCATTAAAAGTCTTTGCTTCTTTTTTTTACCCACTCTTACAACAGATAAACACTAGTGTTGAAATGACTTAAATGATGTTTTCACCAAATAGTTCTCAACCAGTTTACAAGTGTTCATCTTCTAAAATGGAAGTTTCTGATTTTTTTTTTAATTTCCTGGTCATAAAGGTGTATGCCTGTAATGCCAGCAGGAGAAGTGTGCTAGGCAAAGGATTAGGGCTAAAGTTAGGGTAGGGTTAAGGTTAGGATTAGGATTTGCATTAGGGATAGGGATAGGTTTAAGGTTATGGCTAGGGCTAGGATTAGGGACAGGGTTAGGTTTAGTGTTACAGTTAGCACTAGGGCTAGGGTTAAGGTCAGGGGTAGGGTTAAGGTTAGGTTTAGGGGTACAGCTAGGCTTTGGTCTAAGGAAGATCACAGCGGAAGGGTAGCCCTGGGCAAAAACACAAGACCCTGTCTGAAAAATAACTAAAACCAAAACTGTACTGGTGGCATGGCTCAAGTGGTAGAGTGCCTGCCTGACAAGCATGAGACCCTGAGTTCAAACCCAATATTGCCAAAAAAGTGAGAAACTCATCAAGAACTGTGTCTTAAGAAGGACCTCCACACTTTCACCAGGTTCTCATGGTGAAGAACCAAGAAAAATTCCCTCATGAATCTAACGGGGAAAAGAAAAGTTCTGAAGCACGACCAGAATGTTTTCCACAAGAAAGGCCTGTTTTCCAAGGGAAAAGGCAATCAGAGACTGATCTCACCTGTATGCAAGAATTATCCAACTTCAGCACTCGCTAGCCTCCTTTCTTTCACCTAAGAAAAGTAGAGGAAATGCTGTAAAACTAAGATTTAGTCCAAAGATTATAATCTGCTTCCCTTTTCACCTCTTGCCACCACATCAAAGTGCTCCAGGATAACAGTGGGTTGCAACTGAAAGCTGCAAGGTGTAGATGACTTACAAAGAAGTTATTATAGGTATCCAGAGATAATGGAATGGACAAAAATGAAAACAAGAACACTAGAGAAATTTGAAGTCTCTGTAACCTACAGCTATAGCAACATTAAACACAGCCCAACTCTTAGCCAGGTTAACATAATAGCTCACACTGCAGCCTTGTTACCTCTGTTTCAGTTACTCAGTACATCCTGTCTAGCTTTGAACAGAGTACAAGATCTGTTAAAACACAGGAAAAATAGCCAGAAGAGGCAAAGTAAGCATTGAAACCAGACCTTGTACACATTTGGAAATTATCAGCTAGTGAATTTAAAATAATTATGATTTATGGGTAATAATGGCAGAAGTGAGCAACATGCACAAACAGATGTGGTAAATTAAGCAACTATATGGCAACTAATAAAGAATCAAAAGAGCACATATGAATAATAAAAGAAAAATTTTAAAAAAAAAGAATCAAAAGAAAATGCTAAATATAAAAAACATGAAGATCAGAGGAGTGGCTCAAGCAGTAGAGTGCCTGCTTTGCAAGCATGAACCCAAGTTCAAACCCAGTTCCAC